TGCTCACCCCCTCCTTCTGAACCCCACGCAGAAAATCCCGGTTGTTGTGTGCACCTCACACAGGTGGCTACACAGGTGTCCTTTCCAAATTCTTCCAGGTGCAGACGTGAGAACATTGGTCTCATGGATGACACCCTGTCTTTTTCAGAGAAAATCCGAGGGTCCCCAGAAATCACGTCCGTCTTTCTGAACGTGGAGCAGATGACCTCCCTCACTAATGTATTGAGAAAATTTTGGGTCACCTTCTCGTCTTTCATCCATCCATAAGGCACAGTGAATGAGCGATACAGGTGTGGGCTCGTGAGAAAGGTGAATGGATCAGGGTGAAGAGCGATGTGATAGTGCAGTCTCTGCCACCTGTCCTGGTATGTGTGTCTGTCCAGGTCTGCATCTGCCCAGGTGTGTATTAGCCTAGGTTTGCCATCTGCTCAGGTCTGCCCAGGTATGCTGTGTGGCCAGCTGTACATCTGATCAGGTGTGTGTCTGCCCAAGTGTGCCACCTACCTAGGTGTGAGCCTTCCTAGGCATGTGTTTGCTTGTGTGTGTCTGGCACGTCACCTGCCCAGGAGTTTCTGCCCAGAATTGCCATTCTGTAAGGTGTGTGTCTGCTCAACTGTGCCACCTCCTAGGTGTGCATCTACCCAGGCGTGTGCTTCCTCAGGTGTGTGGCCAGGTGTACCACCTGCCCAGGTGTGTCTGGCCGGTAGAACTATTCTGAATGTGTCTGCTGAAGTTTGCCAGCTGCTCAGGTATGTGTGTGTGCCCAGGTGTGTCTGGCCAGTAGAGCTATTCTGAATGTGTCTGCTGAAGTTTGCCATCTGCTCAAGTATGTGTGTGCGCCCAGGTGTGTAATTTGCTTAGGTGTGTGTCTGGCCAGGTATACCACCTGCACAGGTGTGACTTTGCTGTAGTGATATTCTGGAAGGTGTGCGTCTGGCCAGGTATGCCAGTCTGTAAGGGGTGTGTCTGCTCAAGTACGTGTCTGTCCAGGTGTGCCATCTGTCCAGGTGTGCTACCTGTCCAGGTGTGCCATCTGCCCAGGTGTGCTACCTGTCCAGGTGTGCCATCTGCCCAGGTGTGCCATCTGTCCAGGTGTGCTGTCTGTCTAGGTGTGCCGTCTGTCCAGGTGTGCCATCTGTCTAGGTGTGCCATCTGTCCAGTTGTGCCATCCAAGGTTTTCCTGCTGTGTCCTCTCAGAAGGAGCTTGAGGCGGCCTGGGGCGTGCAGGTGTTTGACCGCTTTACGGTTGTATTGCACATCTTCCGCTGCAACGCCCGCACCAAGGAGGCCCGGCTGCAGGTGGCACTGGCCGAGATCCCTCTGCTCAGGTAGATGCCGTGTCCCCGGTCACTCACCCGACCTGCCTTGTAACGCCCCTCTGATGTCTACACCTTTCACCGTTGCCTGGAGAGGTCAGGGCAGTGTGGTCCAGTGCTAGAATTTCCCCCCTTGCGCATGGGAGACCGGAGTTCGATTCCTGTCCATCATGGAAGCTGTGATGCGGAACGAGATTCAGCGGAGCTTCCAGACTAAGAGGAACTAGGAAGAAAGGCCTGGCAATTTCCTTCCCCGAATCAGTCACTTTCCACCAATCATAGGGCTGGGGTGGGACCAGGCAGTCTTTGGTTCTGTTGTACAAGGGGTGGCCGGGAGCTGGGGCCGAGTCTGTAGCAGCCAACGTCAACAACATACGGGGAGAAAGCAAGTGTGAGACCTTTGTGTGTGGGGCTGCGGTGGTGTTCAGAGAGGCCCCCCACCTCATAACTCTGGTCTCCCCTCACAGTGAAGCTGCTGCCCTGCTCTGTCCTAAGTGGAGGGGGCAAGGGGGCAGGTCATGTGTCCGAACTCAACGCGTCCCTCCCTTTTCTGTACCAGGTCCAACCTGAAGAACACGGTTACTCACCTGGACCGGCAGGGCGGGGGCTCTCGCTACATCATGGGGTCAGGTATGTAAGCTGTTCCAGGGACGGGACACCTGAGAAGGTGCCTGCAGAGTGGGTGCTGAAGGAGACTGTGTCCAGGTGATGTGTCCACTCTTTAGGGCACTCAGCGCTGTGTCTCCCGGGGTCATTGTAACAAAGTGCCACAAACATGCTCCCGCCCAGCTCTGGAGACCACATGGCTGAGATCCAGGTGTGGGCAGGGGCTGGCTCCCTCCTGAGGCTCTAGGGGAGGGTGGCCCCAGGTGTCCTGAGCTTGTGGCTGCGTCTGTCCCATCTCTACCTCATTTTCACATGGCCGTCTCCCCTCTGTGTCTGTGTCCTGTCTCTGTGTCTCTGTCCTGTTTGGTCACCAGTCTTAGGACTGAGGTCCCACCTTACTCCCGCCTGACCTCATCTTGATTCTATCAGTAAAGACCCTGTTGTGGCTTGAGGTATGGCCCCCAAATCTGGCTTGGGGTCCTCCCCCTTGTTCCTGTGCCCTTGATTTCATTTGTGGATAGGGTGTTTAGTGTTTGGTGAATGAGCTCATATGAGAGTAGGATGGACCTCCTGAAATCCCTTCTGAATTACAAAGAGAGGACTGAACACAGGGAGAAGGAAGCAGAGATGGGGTGAGGGAGATACCACTGGGGATCAACAGGGACCACGAAAGTGATGCTGACAGAGACAAGGACCTTCCCCCAGAGCCCCCCTAGAGAGACCTGCCCATAGAGTTGGTACCCTGAACTCAGACTGGCAGCCCCCTGAACTTTTAAGAAAATCAATGTCTGTTCATGTAAGAGCTCCTCTTGTGATTTTCATTTTACAACACTACTAGGAAAGTGAGACCCTATTATAAATAGGGTCTTGCTCACAGGTCTGGGTTAGGATGTAAAAGCCTCTCTGGGGTCCCTTCCAGCCCCAGCAGTTGTCCGTACCCCACCCCCGAGTCCCCTCAGACCCTCTCCCGAGTTAAGGAGGAGACCCGGCCCACTCCAGAAGTCGTATCCCTCCCTCTGGGACAGGAAGACCCAGGACCCGCCCATGCCCCCTCCCCGAAGGGCCCCCCAGAGCGGCTCCGTGGGTGTCTGCTCCCTCACTTGGCGTCTCCAGCATTTGCAGGAGAAACGTTCTTGCAAGTGCAGCAGCGTCTCCTGAAGGAAAAGGAGGTGAAAATCAAGAGGGCGCTGGAGAGACTCAGGAGGAAGAGAAGCGTTTTGCGGAGGGAACGTCAGAGACGCGAGTTCCCTGTGATCGCGGTGGTTGGCTATACAAACTGCGGTGAGGAGCGTGGGAGGTGGGGATACGGGCGGAGGTCGGGGCGGCACAACATTCCCTGTGGGGTACCCGATTCAGAGCCTGGAGTGCAACCTATCTGCCCCTGAGGCCTGTGTGTGGCTCTGACCCGGAACAGGTTTCCGTGGGGCTTTCTGACTAAGAGGGGCTAAGAAGAAATGCCTGGCAATCAACCAGAAAATGGCCAATGAAAGCCCCACTGATTAGAGTGGTCGTCTGTAACCATGCGCGGGCATGCTGCACCAGTGGGCAGCATTTGGTTTAGCTGTTCATGGGGTGTACATGAGTGGAGCCGATGACCTCAGCTAACAACTGGGAAAGCATGTGGTCACTTCTTATCCTGTGTCCATGTGGTCATTTTCCCTGTGGACAGTGTGACCTCACTTCCTGCCCTGTGCCCATGTGGTCAGTCTCCCCGTAGACAGTATGATCATTTCCTGTCCTTTGTCTACATGGTCAGTCCCTGTGGACAGTATGACCTCATTTCCTGTCCTGTGTCCCACATGGTCAGTCTCCCTGTGGACAGTGTGATCTCACTCCCTGTCTTGTGTTCTACATGGTTAGTCTCCCTGCATACAGTGTAATCTCACTTCCTGTCCTATGTCCAACCTGGTCAGTCTCCCTGTGGACAGTGTGGTTACGTCCTGTATCCACACGGTCAGTGTCAGGTACTTCAGACTTTCTCGTCCCGCAGTTGCGCACTTCATAGACTGTGGAGCAAAACTCCTTGTTATGATCCTGTGTCGTGTGTCTGGGGCTCGGTCTTCACAGTAGCCAGCCATTTCATCCTTCTCCCTCAGAGCACATGGTAGGTTTGAACCTCCGACTGTGTGGTTAGCAGCCTGCACTTACCCCACTGTGCCACCTGCCATTCTAAAAGGCCTCAGTTCTTAACGTTAGCAGATTCCCAAACAGACTCAAAATTGTAGCTTCCACCTTCTTGGGACCTTTCGGAGGCCTCAGGGCAACCGTGCACTACGCTCCCAGTACTCCCTATTTCCGTGACCCCCCCGTCCTTCCCCCGTGACCATGTCCCCCTGCATCCTCCAGGGAAGACCACCCTGATCAAGGTACTTACCGGCGATGTGGCCGCTCAGCCTCGGGACCAGCTGTTTGCCACACTGGATGTCACGGCCCACGCGGGCTTTCTGCCGTCGCGCATGACGGTGCTGTATGTGGACACCATCGGCTTCCTCTCCCAGCTGCCGCATGAGCTCATCGCGTCCTTCGCAGCCACTCTGGAGGATGTGGCCCACGCCGTGAGTGACGCAGCCCTGGGGTGGGGCCCAGCCTCTGAGAGCCCCCTTCAGAGCTGTGTAGGGAAGCGGAGCCGGCGGGGTACAGCATGGGGGTTCATTTGGGCACCTGAGTCCCAGGTTATGGAGGTCGCAGAGCGGGGTCTACTGGAGCGGAGGGCCGATGTTTCTGGGGTAGTCGAGGCAGTCGATTTTTCTCTTGGGAAACTTCATACTTTGCTCTTGGGGTCCCCGCCCGATTGGTTCAGGCTCACCCATACCGGGACTCCACTCTGCTTTCCCCTCGTCAAGCTGCTCAGGGGCTGCAATGAAGGGTCTGCATCTCTTGGATCTGTGCGGGGAAACGAAAACAGTGCGGCGCGCTTTATTGCGGTAGTCTGGAACGCAACCCGAAGTATCTCAGGGTCTGCTGTGAAGCCTTCAAGAGCTAGATCTCTCCTGCATTGCCCTGTTTTTATGGATTGTACAAGTTTTCTGCCCCTGACAGGGTGCTGTCTTGGCATTTTTTAAATTCATTGTTGGTGGGAAATGTGTTTCCTTCTCTTACAAGTTTCTGAATCATCCAGGTTCCAGCTTTCATAGGTTTTACTATATAGAGAAGGCCAGCAGTTTGAATCCACCAGCTGTCCCGTGGGATAAAGATGAGGCTTTCCTACGCAGGGTTGCTGTGAGTTGGCACACTACCACCACCGTCTGTTTGGAGAGAGAGCAGACAGATGGTTAGGAATTGGCTCAGGCACTTGACCAGGAGGTTGGCCGGCAAGTCTGAAATGCGTCGGGCAGGCAGGAAGCTCCCAATAAAGGAAACGCTGTGTTCTTGAGTAAATGCTCCGGGAAGGGGTCCTGGAACAGACAAAGGAGAGTAGAAGCTCACCACAGCCGAGTAACGTCTGGAGTGGTAACGTTAACAGTAACGTTAACAGCTGTATTGATCCCAAGCTCGGTCATAGAGAGGGGATGCCAAATTGGATGCATGCGGAAACTCTCACAATTTAGCCATAAACCCAAAACGATTCTGGAAGCTAGAGCTTAGTACACCCAAGCTAATAATAATCCTGGCACTTCTTGTTGTTGTCAGGTGCCATCGACTCGGTACCGACTCATGGTGACATTATGCACAGCAGAAGGGAACACTGCCCGATCCTGGGCCAACCTCACTACTGTTGCCACACTTGAGCCCATCGATGCGGCCACTTGGCCAATCCATCTCGTTAGGGGGTCTTCCTCTTTTTCTCTGACCCTCCACCTTACCAAATATGATATCCTTCTCCAGTGACTGATCCCTCCTGACAATATGTCTGAAGTATGAGAGACAAAGTTTATCCAGCCAGGCCTCCAAGGAGCACTCAGGCTGCACTTCTTCCTACACAGATCTGTTGGTTCTTTTGGCAGCCCCATGGCACTTTCAATATTCTCCTCCAACTCCGTAACTCATATGCATCAATTCTTCTACGATCTTCCTTATTCACTGTCTACCTTTCGCATCCTTATGAGGTTATTGAAAATACCACGGCTTGGGTCAAGCGCGCCTTAGTCCTCAAGCTGACATCTCTGCTCTTCAACACTTTAAAAAGTTCCTGTGCAGCAGATTTGCCTAATGCAATACGTTGTCTGATTTCTTGACTGCTGCTTCTGTGAGTGTTGATAGTTGAGCCAAGAAGAATGAAGTCCTTGACAACTTCAATCTTTTCTCCGTTGATAAGAATGTTGTTTATTGGTCCAGTGGTG